ACATTTCATTTATTCCAGAGACCTTCTATGTTCATATCTTATACATTGTTCAGAATAAATCATTTTTTTTAATCGATTGGAATACTTATGCACTGAAAAAAAAGGAACGAGAATGAGTTTCGAATATAAACTAGCGCGATCCGTATTTCGACCTTATTGAAGAGTCTCATTTGACAGCTGCTATTTAATCTAGTATATTGTCAAATGGAAGAGAAAGCGTTTATCAAGAAACTTCGAATATTTTCACAAAATATAGAACCCACAATGCAAATCATAAGAGAAGAAAACCTAACAGAATGGTCCTATTGCATGTCTAATTCCTATTCAATAGTTCTTAGATATACAATGTTTTATTAATACGTATGCGTACACATTTTTCAACACTTGAAAGACATTCATTTGTCTGTTGATAGAAAACATAAATAAGACATAGTAAATTAGGCACATAAACAGAATTGTAACTAACAATGCAAGTTCGCGTACTGTAAGTTGCGAAGATTGAACATATTCGAGTCAAATGAAAGCTCTCACTGACAAACTAATAAATTTAAACTATAAAAATAATAAATTGTTTTTCATTATGAATTTATCAAGGTTGCTCTCAAGATATTATGATGATAATTTTTCTTGTTTATTTTTTATAAAATACAAGTCACAAATCAGTATGATTATTTGAGCAGTAAAATGTCAGTCGATAGAAGAAATTGATTTTCATCATCATCGATATGTTTAATCGATTGATCAAGGCTGTAATCTATTAAAGTGCCAGCTGTTGAGTTCATACATTCATTGTATGGATAACTGAACCAATAACAGGACATAATGTTTCATCTATCACCCAAAAAAGAACATATCAGATCAATTGATGACTTTATAGAAACAGTGAAACTTAGTGCTCTAGTTTTCGACTCAGTCCAAGCGAGCGTCTCGTCGTTTAGTTTTTCATAGGTATTTGTTAGTTTGTGCAATGTTTGTAATTGTCCTTTACTGAATCGAACTATTTTCTATTGTTTGTCATCATTATGAGTAAGTTAGTTTATTGTATTCTGAAGTTTATCCATGTCTAGTACAATTCTCTTCAATTCTTCTTGAATGAATGATACTTTATTCTGCATGATTCGTGTCAAATTTGTCGAAAATTGGCCAATATACAGAATTAATGAAGATGGACGACAAGATTTGTATGTGATATCCTTGTATTTCTATACATGAAAAACAAACGTCGATTAAAATCACACTAGTTGACTATCGGTAAACGATTTTTTTACAATTTTTCGAATTGACAAAATAATTTACTATTTGCAACATTCTTTAACTGGAGTTTAGAGAATAGGCGATTTTAACTTAAGTCTTTCAATCTAATACATTTTCTAACATTTTAATCATTTGTTTCGAATCAGTTTATTCTATATTTAACAGTTTAAACAAACGATGTACGTATTTTCCTAGCATCGTCAATATTAGAAGATAGTAGAATAAAATTCAAATCAAGTTTGAACGAAAGTGTTTCGAGCTTTTTACAAATCGAATCTGACTTTCACAATGGTGACATGAATTTTCATACCAGTAATCGAATGTAATAGTTATGTTTTATACAAAAATACTTCTTATCGAGATTTTATTATTATGTTAGCAGTTGAATAGCGATCAAATAGCATTGAAAAATAGAGCTTCGTTTTCTCTATCATCTCACCTAGAAAGAAAATTTCAAAAAGCTAATTATAAGAAAATAAGGTGACTGGGCCACTACTTTTGGATTGCCGGAAGTAGTAGTAAAAGAGCCTAGAAATTGTCTTGTTTATTGCAAGGGTGTGGGTGTGGGTGTGGGTGCGTGTGGGTGGGTGTGGGTGCGTGTGGGTGGGTGTGGGTGTGGGTGTGGGTGGGTTTCGGTGTGGGTGGGTGGGTGTGGGTGTCCGTGTTTGTGTGGATGTGGGTGTCTGTGTTTGTGTAGGCGTGGGTGCCTGTGTTTGTGTGGGTGTTTAAGGAGGGTATACTCACACCCCACACCAACACCAACACCCACCCCACACCAACACCCACACCCACTCCACACTCAGCCGCCCACACCCATACCCCACACCCACACTCACACTCACACTAACACTCACACCCACACCCCACACCCACACCCCACACCCCACACACCCCACACCTACACCCCACACACCCCACACCCACCTCGACTGTAATGGCATTCATTTCTCCGATTGACAAGTATCTAATTCATTCATTGATTATTTATTCCATGAATAATGCAGATTCAAATTTGCATGTTATTTGATGTTTGAAAAGATATTTTCAAATGAAAAGTGCTATGCCTCATCTAGTTAACTTGAGCAGATTTATGCATGCATTCATGCATAATTGCTTATCGATGTAAAATAAATAAATAAATAAATAAATATATATATATATATATATATATATATATATGTGTGTGTGTGTGTGAAACGACTATATGCGATTAAAATCAAATTTATAATATGGCTCGATTCGTTCTTCTTATAGTCTTGGTGATTGTGTTGATGGCTTCAACAGTGAATTGTCGAATATGTATGTGTAGTTGTTGTAACCCTTCTTGGGATAATACTGGATGTTTCATCAGCATTGATCCAACAGCAACAGCTTCTTATTGCAAATCACGCTGTAGTGATCAATGTCCTGAACAATGTCCACGCGGTCAAAACACAGGCACAATGATGGCTAACTCTATTAATGGCTTTAAAGACCCCTCAAGCAACTGTGGAATTTCGGGTTAATGTCGAATATTAAGTATCATATTTATTTAATCTCTATATCCATGAAATTAATAAAAACAGAATCATTCTTTTATTTTTCATATTTTTCTATATGAGAAATGTATACAGTTATAATAAATCAGCGATTATTTTCATCTGAATTTCAAATATTATAGCTTTTATATAGATATACGCTTACATTATATCATGAATCTAAGAGAAAAAAACGGCACAGAATCATTTCTTGTCGATTTGATCAACGCATTTTAATGCTATAATTCAACGATATACATACAAACGTCACGATTTAAAAAAATACAAGGAATGACACAAGGGTGTGGGGTGTGAGTGTGGGTGTGGGTGTGGGTGTGGGTAAGGGTATCAATCGAGAGATACAGACACCCACACCCACCCATACCAGCACCCACACCCACACCATGCTAAAAGATGCAGAATTTTATGCGCTTTCAGAATTTGGATTCAATTTTCTGGGATTCCACAGTTCAACGTATGTTAGAGGCAAAATACCAGCTAAAAAATGACCATCAGTCATCAATCCCTTTCACATTGTGCAGGATGGATCGGTTACTAAAAGACCTTTTCAGAACTATTGGTATAGACAATTTTGTAGAGAAATGTTTTCTGCATTTTTTTGAGACTTCTCTGCACTCTAGACGATGGGCAGAGACAAAGAAAATCTCGAAATACTATCAAAATGTGAAAAAAGCTATTTCGGGGATATAACCCCAAAAACTGAAAGATTGTGACCTTCGGCATTTTTTACTGGTGCGTCAAAAAATTGTAATATTTTGGATTTATAAGTTTCAAGATATGATCTGTTGTTTAAGCTAAAAAAATCAAAAAAAAAAATTTGCTCCGGAAAGTTTGGTGGACAATCTGGCGAAACCTCTCTTAAATTTAAAATACATATGTTGAAAAAAATCGGATGTTTTATCGTTTTAGTAGTAAAAGAGCCTAAAAATTGTCTTGTTTATTGCAATTTCTATGATCGAAACTCATTTGAAAGACGTCTTTGGAAACTTTATGTGTAGTCTACCTAAGATGGATTTATCATTTGAAAAGTCTATTAGATACATTTTTTAGGTGGATATACACATATGCTAGAAGCCTACATATATTGCTAACAGTTTCTACGTTATTGATTTTAAATCTAAGAAAATAATAGTTTTCTACTCAGCTTTTGATATTGATTTAGAAAAGAAGCTTATAAGAAGACATTTTGGTTCTATCTCCATTTTATAATGTAATGATAGTTATATAAAGAGTATCATGAATATCTTTTAAAGATAAGAAAAAACAAGAAAAGAGAAAAACGAAATTTACCCTAGATAAATAAATGCATCATGTATTCAAACTTTTTGAATATATTACTATGAAGTACTGACGATATTGGTATCGTTATAGGTTAAAGATTGTTTCTCTACTCATTATATTTCTAATATTGAAAATATTTTTAACATCTCGAAATAATGTTAAAACAAATAAATCTTTATCAGAAATCGGTTTTAGTAATGATGATATTCAATATGAATTAGATAAATATATTTAATTGAAAAATCAATATCAATTAACTGGCATAATACTTCATGGGAAACGTTTAAATGGTGTTCAAAAACTTGTTCAAACAATGCTTGAATATGAAATATATTTTCTAATATTATTATTTGAAATAATAATCCAATGACTAATTAAACTTTTAAAGATTTATTAATTGAAAATAATAGTCGTATTGATATAGTTAATTCAAATGCTAATATAAAAGATGAAGCAAAATATCGTGCATGTCAATTAGCTAAAACAAATGCTTGTTTTTATGTTGATGATGATTGGGATATAAGAATATATATCAAAAGTCTTTATTCACATTTTCTTCTTGAACCAACTATACTTCATGCTATAACAGATCAATTTACTTATTTTACTAATCTAATGTGGACATTTTTTGATGAAAGTATTGATTTACATACTGGATTTAGTTGGATTGGTTGTGGTTCTGTCTTTTCACGTGATAATGCTATACGTCATTTGATGTATATGGACTTTTTTCTTAATAATGATGAAAGTCGTGGTAAGATATTAAACGTAAGAGTGATTAAGCCTCTTTTCATTCCTCGAAAATCGGTCTTAGACAAAGTACATTCAAATTCTATGAAATTCCATTATATGTTGAGCTTTAAGAATAAATCTCAAAAAAAATTTTTAATGGTACAATGAGACTATTTTTGTAATTGAAAAGTTTTTATTCTTCGAAGTAGTACCGGTTTGAAAAAAATCTTTTGTCTTTTTTTGTAATGATTAAGGTCTTGGATTGATTTCGATATTATCATTGAGAGAAACCATTTCAAGAAAATAATTGAATTTCATTTAAAAGAGTTAAAGATTCTCAAGTTCAATTTTCTCGTTCAAGAAAGTCTTAGTTCTCATGACTTAGTCATATTTTATAAATTTCAGTTTTTTTCTTAAAATAGACTTTCACTATCCGACCTCAAACGATCAAATGAATATAATTTTCCTTACTTAACAAAAAGTAAAATTTTGTCAAAAAATTCGAAAATGAGATAAATGAAGAATCTTACTACCAAATAAATAACAAGCAGAATAAAAAAAACAGCAAAATATCATCAATTTTCCGTTTCAAAGATTATTTCTTTTTTCGCAGTTTCTCAATTAAGATATAGTGATTTGATGAATATCATCAGAAAACTTCATAACATTGAGCTAAATTATTTTTATAAACATTGTTTTATTAGATTTAATTCCACAAGGCGATCAATTTTTTTCCATATGGATGAATCAGATTCCAGCACAATTCAATGGACGTTTACTTCATTCT